AACCGCTCTGGATTGGATGGACAACACTGATGCTCCCAGCTTGCTACCCCTGTTCAGAAGGGAGGTGTTTGCTGACTCGCATGGTGCATGCAGCCTTGGCCCAGAGACTCAGGAGGTGACAAATCCATCTTGCTGTTTCCGGTCCCGATAGAAGACACGGCACTAACACTGCAATGAATCTTGGCACTGCCACCAGCAGAAAGGTTTGCTCTGATAAGTAGGCAGATGCGATGCTGCCCAAATCTGCACGCCCACTCCACAGAGACATTATCATTCATCTCCTGACTTTTAAAGTACTTTTTGTCTGATTTCTAATACTAGCTTCACAAAGCCAATCACAGAAGAGAGACATATGATTAACCTATAATCAAATTACATTATATATATATGACAATTACATGCTAACTGGTTTCTTCAAATAAGGGCCTGCAAGGGGATCACCTGGGGTAGAATTTAGTTTGCACTGGTTTTGTTCTTCATTCCCAGGAGAACACGAAGGCCACTAAAGTGGAGAGGGCACACACAGTCAGAGCTCACTTAGGAAGTTTAGGACACAGTATATACAAACCAGGTACACAGGAAGTTTGAATCATTGGGTCTTTCAAGGGAAAGGAGGGATGGAAAACTGTCCTAGCTCAAATTCAATATAAGAGCTTTTCACCAAGCTAGCAACCTAGGAAGTGTGAAGAAATTGCCCCAAGAAAGAAACACCCAAGTGATTACCTGTCTGCCATGCTGTTCCTAGTTTCTCTGGTTATGTCAGGAGCTGCTGGCCAAGGCTGACTCACAACACTGTCAGAAGATGCGTTTTCCTGAGTTAAAGCAGTCTCCAGTAATGATGGAGCGTTCAGTCTGTCCACCTCCACTTGAGGCATGTCCAAAGAGCGGTGGCTGTGATCAGAATTGTGCCGGTTCCTTGGAGATAGCAAATGCAAGGCTGAAGCAGCGGATGCCATACTGTCTGCATGATGACTGGGCTCCAGCACCTCTGCAGGGAGCCCAGATGGGCCAGCTGCAAAGCTGCGTTGCAAGGTCTCAGAAGCAATCTCTGGGATATCTTGGGACATGGCTGTGGAAGCAGAGGAAATGACATCTGGCGAACGTTCACGGGTGGGAGAAGCCTGAGGCACCACCAAGGGCTCCATTTCCTGCAGTTCCAGAGCTAGAGAAGGGTTTCCCGGCGTGACCTGAATTCAAAATAACATAAAATAACATCAAACAAGAGCCTTCAGCCTTCACAGAGACATCTCAAGACACCCTAGCACCTCTCACCAAGCGCCGAACTGCCCCAGGGCCAACAATCACCTCTGAAGACAGCCAGGCTGTATCCTTTCCTCATGTGATACCTGCGCACCCAAAGTGTTCAGCAGATGGAGAAGGGCCCCAAGACTTGTAATGAGATTGTGTGCTACCACCTTCTTTTGCTCCAGGATCCCTCCAACTTCTCAATGCAAAAATAGCACGTTTTTTCCATATCTGTCAACTACTTGTAGAAACATTTACTGACCCTTCAGCACATAACCCTCATTCAGCACATAACCTCCGACACTCTCCTTAAACGAAAGGGAATTTTGACTTGCACATAAGGGAATACAGAATTAGACCCAAAAATCATACTAACAACACACTTAACTGTTCTAGTTTGAACACACTTCCAAAATAAAATTTAACAGGGAGTTCTACCTCCCTGATCTGCTTCACAATCTTTCCTCTTCGAGGGCAAATAATCGGTTAGTTTTAACATTGAATACCTCTGGAACTGACAGTTTATTTTGGCTTTAAGCTTTGGTCATCCATAATCTGCTTTACATCACACCTGGAAATAAAAGTTTAAGGATAAGAAATGATAGTTTCAGACCCACAAGACCAGTAAGAAGGAAGAAACCTTTCCAGGTAGCACTGTCTCCTAACACACAGACTGACCATTTCTGACCATCATGATAGTGATAACATAAGCTAGAGCTGTCTCTAGCTTTCAGAGACATCCTGTTTTGCAGCAGAATCAAGCTCCATTAATATATTGATAAACCAGGCTGCAGATCTATGCCAGCAGCTTCGTTTCCCAAAAGGTAGACATTGGCCCTGCTATTATACAAATGAGCCTCATTTCAGCTTGCAAAAGCCTATAGAGAAGTACCGTGGCCCAGGAGGAGAAAGAAACAAGTTGTATTTGGAGACTTACTGGAACAGGTGCCTTTGGTGTTAGCTTGTCAGGGAGGCTAGGGATAAGAACTGAATGGCTCCTAGGACTGGTTTGAAGACTGCTGCTACTGCTACTCAGCGTGAGGCTGGTGTCCAGCTGCATCTTGGGGCTCACCGTCAAGTCTTCCGATACCCTACAGAAAACAGACAAAAAACAAATTAGGCAGGCCAACTTAATGATACAGATTTGCACTGAACACTTGAGGCTCCGGAGCAGTATGAACGCACAGGTCAATGGAGGAGCCAATTCACAGTAACAGAGGGCCCAATTCAAATTTCATCAGTCCTCTCTGAGCTCTCTGCTCTTTACTCTGTGGTCAGCTGCTCCCTGTCAACTAGCAACTGCATCTCCTAGTCACCATACAGGCCAAAGAAAGTCTAAATGGAAACGAAGAAAAGAGGGGCGTTGTAGTCTGTCTGAGGAAGCGTTAGAATTTGAGGGGTCAGTGAGACAAGGGCCCCGTTATATCTTCAGTTCACACTGTGGGGAGTTTAGGGAGAAATAGGACACTAGAGAAAAGGTCCTTGGTCTTCTTCCCTGACCCTAGAAATGAAGCTTTTCCTTATTAGTTATGCAGCCGAACCTACCTCACCCCCATAAGATTTTCCTGAGAGTCCCAATTACCCTTCTGTCCTTGAGGCCTGCAGCGTTCCCTTACCTGTAAACAGTGACAGCCCTTCGGGAGAAGCACAGAAAGCGACAAAGTTGAGATGCAGTAAAAGAATCCCTATGAGGCACAAAGGAAACACTACTGTCTGCCCCTTGGATGACAACAGACATGCTCCAAGCTGCCTTAGGGATGTAAAGAGTTGCCCATTTGGGGCTCTGGGACTAAGGCCAGTTTCTAACTCTGCTTACAATCTCCTCTTCTGCAAGATAAACTACAGCTCTGCTCCACCCTGCAGGACAGTATCAGTTCAGTTGCAAAGGAATATTTAATGCTCTATTTACCTGGGCATAGAGGTGTCAGTGACAGAAGTGCTACTCATGGCTGTGACTGCAGTCAGGGAACTGACGCTACTGCCTGGAGATACAGTGATCTACAAGAAAATATACAGCAGTCAGGATGTGACAAGAGTCCAACAGCAGAACTTAGAACGCTGGCCTCAGAAGAACTCTCAAAGACTCTTTGGCAAAAGGGGAATAAAAAAGTTGGAAGTTGTACCGTTGGGGTGCTCAGGTGCTGGTCAAAGGCAGGCCCCCAATACACTCCCATCATATGAACCATGGCTGCTTATATTGACCTAAGTTACTTCAGGCACGTTTACAGTCCCAAAATGAACCAGCGTTCTGCAGGGCTCAGCAGTACCACATTTTGTTGTTCAAGCTAGACTGCTCCTGTGAAGGTCTGTTGCCACTGGTGAGGCCAGAATCTGCCTGAGGTATGGGTCCTGCTACATAAGCACTACCAATAGGCGGTAAGGGAATGCATAAACGCACAAAAAGGGGTATTGTTCACCTTAGCTGGCTAACAGTGTAGAGCACAGTGAGATATGCTGACCTCTCTGCTGCTTCTGGCTACCAAGAAACAGCTACAGAGGTCATCAACACAGGCACACACGTACAAAGCAGTGAAAGTCTATTTGGCCAACCTTCTGACTCTTGACACTGTTTACAGCATAGTGAAGATTAAGCTAAACCCAAGGCTGGTCCACACTAGAATGCTCCCAGGTGCTGGTGCCAGCAGGAACAAGCCTGCCATGAAACAGGCAACAACGAAAAGCCAGGTTTAAACTGAAAATAAAAAGTGAGCTGGTCCTTGCAGCAAACAGCATGTGCAACCATCACCCATTAACAACATCTCTCTACTCCCTTGGTGCATCTTAGCACTGGGAAAGCTATCCACCCTCAGGCACATAATTAACTTTTGTACTCAGCAACCTTGCTAGCAACCTTGAAACCTTTATGAGGAGTTTAATTTATTCTTTGCTCCCCAACTTTCCACTGGAGGTGGGTGTATCTCAATCAGCTCAGCACTAACTCCATTTCTCCACATCTTCCATGTGCTGCCCCTACTCACAGAAGCTCCTCCAGCACATGCATAAGCTGTAGTTACAACCTCTCATTCCTCCCTCGGAGAGGGAAGCCCTGCCAGAGGATGGGCACACAGAATGCTGCTCATCAGCACTCTCACCGCTGCCTGTAAGAACCATGTCAGCATGGTAAATAACTGCTGACAGTACATTTCTCACAGGCAGGCAGGAAAAGCACTTGCCAACAGCACAGTTTCACACCAACTGAATTCACACCTTGTAATTACGTTGCAGATCACTTTTTAAGGAAAATATTTTTTAAACACTTTTTCACATACATTTATTCCAATTTTAAAAGTACATGGGAAAACTAATGGTCATAAATGCAATGCAGAGGTAAGGGAGGACATGCAAGCAGGCTGCAAAGCAAGAACATCTGAATGGGTTCAAGACAAACTAGCATGAAGTTTGGACACAGATCTGGCCAAAAAACAGTGAGCTCCAGCTCTTAAGTTTGTTGTCATAACCAAGAGGAGGCAGCAGAAACCTGCAGTGAGGTGGACAGACAAACATTGTCAGTGTCAGACAGCCTCTAGAGATGCCCAGGAGGACCCAAAGGAGCATGATACTGGCCGCACACATGTGACAGAGCATTAAGAGCAATTCACTGCTTACTGACTGCTCCATTGGAGCTCCACTGAGGAGGAAATGCTTGCTTATGGCTCTTCACTGAAAGACTTTGGTGCCCTTCTCCTACAGCAAATCCTGAGGAACACTTCGCTCCCTGATCCTGAAATCCATGGGGCAAGCACAAAAGAACTGCCTGCACTACAAGTTAAGGCTTGCTGCATCAGATTCACAGCAAGCCAACTCAGCAATCAACAGGATGCTGTTCAGCTTGTGGAACCATTTTCTTTCCCTCCAGACAAGCTTCAAAGTAAATCCAGCTAAAAACCCACTGCACTATTGGACTGCCAATTTGGAGATCTTATGCAGAAGATGTTCCAGTCCCATCTTCTTACTTGACTGTTTTAGACATGCATTCCCAAAGGATCTTGTCAGACAGGACATGCAGAGACAGCACAAGCTGACAGGGGTTTTCTGCCATTACAGTTAGACCACAACCCCAAACAGGATGCATAAACCAGGAAAAGCATCTCCCAGCATAGATAGTTATTCAGTACATCCATTATTTGCATACAATACAGCTACATCAGCAGTTTTGTAGTAAAATACAGCACTCCCAACATAAGCTTAGACCAGCTTGGCATTTTAGACAGGCCAACATGTCTTTACTCAGTGTTGGTTACGCAGGTAGTTTTTCTTCTGTGCTCGACATTCACTAGTTCCGCCTCCCTGAGTCATTACAGTCTAAAAAAAGTCCAAAAGGATCAAAATCCCAACCTATCCCTTGTACCACTAGTAACAGTGCTCTCCTCTGGTTACCTGTTGAAGAGATGTACTTGGGGTCATGAATGCATCTGGAGTCATCAACTTAGGTTTGGCATCATTTGAGAGAGAAAGAAAGTCTGCTGGTACAGGGAGATCAGCAATGCGCCGCAAGTCAGGTTGAGAGCCGTGCACAGATCCCTTTTCAGATCCCAGCCCTTCTGTGCTTAGATCAGCCATATGGTCTGGAAAGGCTTCCAAAAGATAAATACAAACAAGTTTATAGGAACTTCCCCCAACAGCTAAAGCTATAATTCCACAATGTACAAACTTACGCCATTGCTAGTCATACTGGATGCCAAGATAGCAAGCAAAATCCAGCAACATCCACTTGAACTAATCAGAGTTAAGGGCAATGGAAATCCTGTCTTCTGCTTACTCTTTGTACACCAAAGAGTGGACGTTATCAGGCTTTAATAATGAGAGCGATACAAGCTTCCTTTCTTCTCTGAATTTAAGGCCAGTTGTAACAGCCAACATTCCAGAATGGTGAATGATCCAAAAAAGCACACTGCACCCAGCCCAGTCTCCTCTACCTGCAAAGCTCTGGTGTCACTGAGATCTCTTCTGCCTGAGAAGAGACAAATATCGTGTTTCTGGAACCAGTGCCAAATCAACTAGGAAGGCAAACCCAAGGATGCACAAAGCATTAGCACTCCTAGCTTAACAGGCTCCCCCGGCTCTGTACTCTTACTGGGCTCTAATCAAGTGGGCTGCTTTCACAGCTAGCCCACACTCAGAACACAACCACCAACAACCTTCCCCCTCTCGTCAGCCCTCCCCAGCCATTAAAGGCCTAGAATACTGAAGACTCACTGAACACAAATGCTCACCAAATTCTTCATGAGAGCCATGGGAAGGTATGGATGCAGCCACGTCAGGACTATGGAGAGGCTGGAATCTGATCTGTACATCCTGTAGCGCCCTGAAGAAAAAAAAATCAGACATCTCTGATTACCTTGTGAATCACCAACAGAAGCCTATGGCTTAGAGGACTGCTCTTCCTGGAACTGATTCCTGTGGAATACACTTTAGCGCTTTCTGCCTGTGAGGGAAGAAGTAGAAGCTGATCTTTATGGAGCTGCTTCACCCAGTTCTGGCACCCAAAGCATCTGAAAGGTGCTGCCGGCACGTACATATGTGCAAAACTCTGAAGTCACTGGGTGCATGCAGCAACAAAAATACTAGCTTGTCACGGCACTATGCTGGGCCACTTCCAGGTAAAGACATTCTGAACACACCACAGCTAGAAGCTTCTATGGGCTCAAGTAGCTTTTATTATGAGTGGAAGGAACCGGTAAGTAAACAGCATTTCTACAGGTCAGCGCGGGATAGGGATCACTGTGGACAGCTACCCATAGTAGGTTCTATGCATACTCACTTGGTGTGCACACAGAACAGTTTTATAAGTACGCCTGCTGCCGACTCAACAGCCCCAGCTCCCTGAGCACCTTCTGGAAACGAGACAAAAGTAAAACGTGAACTTAGATGGAAACCGCAAACAAACTACTAGAAAAACTTCAAAGCAGATGAGCCAGCAGCAGAGAACAATACAGCTCTATATAGCTTTGTCACTACTTCACTTCAGAGGTAGATTCATCCTATTATGGGAAAATGTATCCTATGCTCGCTTTATTTTTTCACTGCGAGAGCAATCAAATTTCCTCTAATCCAGTCAAATAAGCCCGAAGGGGGCGGGGAGGTAGAAATCACCTTTCTAGGAAAACAGGAGGAAGCTGCAGTCTAGAACTGCCAGCAACTTGTTCTGGCAGTTAAAGTGACTAGTTGGATACTTTTTAAAAGACACTCTCTCGATTACATCACGCAGAGGTTCAGACTGGGACTCAACCATCTTTCCCAGCTTTAAGTAACAGTAGTTACACAAAGCTCCGCAATAACTTTCCATCAGCCAGTACTGACAACATTCACCCAATACCCAAATTAGCCTTGCTGCTAGGAAAGCTAAGGAGGCTGAGAAGAAAAGATAAGCCTAACTCTCCATAAAAAGCTAATTTAGGTATTCTTATGCAAATTCTCCAAATTATCTGAGCACCAATCTGGGACCCAAAGTTTCACCCCCAGTCTGCCTGCTGACTTGTTACTTGTATCAGTCATCTTTTCTACATTTCAGTGCCAGAGCCCCTACAAAAAGGAAAAAAAAAAAAAAAAAAAGTACTGATATTCTTTGCTTTGGGAGCCAGTGAGTCACTGTGTTGACAATAACACAAATTAACTATAATTATTATGTAGCAGAATAGGCACTGAGAAGCATATCATAACGCTTCACTGACAGTCCAGAACTCTCATTAACAGGAAATACATTGACATTATTTATCCAAAGCACCTTTCCAAACTTTAGTAACAGAAAGGTAGGAGATCAGGAACAAGCCAACACTCCAAGAGAAGCAGCAAACAATGAAGCTTGCATGAGAATTCTCCACAGGATTCTGTAACATATCCGTTGTAGTAATTGCCAGAATACAGCTCACGTGTCTCCAAGAAGCCTTTTTTAAAGCAGAGCCCTCAGCACTGCAACCCCACATTTGTCATCTCCTCCCCTCTAAAGGGAGTTACTCGTTCATTTCTGCTGCAAGAAGTTTTGTGGGTCTCAACCCACAGCTTGGGAATAAGCATTCCAGATGCAATGGAGAGGAATCTCTCCCTCTCTGTCCAAATGTTGCAATTCAAACTGCATACCGTCCCCACATCCTGGCACAGCTCTGACAATACAGTTCAGAAGCAACCAACTGGATCTCGGACCACGAGTTCAAACTTCAGATATTTAATTATGCACAGTTTACTTGGACAAGCAGTCACAGAAATATATCCTGCCAACTCTTCCAGGAACTCTGTTGCTCCTGTAAGCCTGCCTCAGTCTGTGCTGAAGGGAGACTCAGCCCTACAACGCCAGAGGTAGGGTAGTATGCTGCCTGTTTCTGCTGAGAGCAAGGAAGCTATGTGATCCTTCAAGCATCACCACTCAGATCCTGGGCAGCTAATCCTACACCTTAACCAAAGGGTCACTTCCACTCACTCAATCCTGCACAATCCTGCACTATATTTTAGTAACAGAAACACCTCAGAAGAGTTTCCACTTGGTAAGGGGCAAGGGTGATAAACTGTGGTTTGGGAGTTTCAGGTTGGCTCTTACAAAAGCATTTTCTCTAGGAAGTGGTGCAGAGCTGGAACAGGACACCAGGGCACAGAGAGAACCACCATTTTCAATATGCAACTAGATAAAGCCACAGCTGACCTAATCTACTGCCAGCAATATTCCTGCTTTGAAGGAGGTTAGACCAGAGACCTCCAGAAAGTCCTCTGTAACCAACTCTACTGTGCTTCTCTGAAGTACTTTAGCTGTACGGCAGGAGTTTCATACAGAGGAAGAGAAGAAGAAAGTGAGCCCTTTTTGAGAAAGGCACAACTAGTCAAGAGAGACATCCTGATCTCACAGCAGCCAAAGTCTTCGTCACCTACCCACACTCAAGTTGTCATTTTCCTCTTCTGCTGGGAGCACTTCAGTATGCCTTAACCGGCAGCGGCTCACTGCCTGGATACCAAAGCTTAGAACTGGGTGGGTAAGGAGGAACTCGGAAATGGAGCTAAAGTAAGCTTTGCCCTCCTCTTGGTTCTGCATCAGTTCCATCACATACAAGACCTGGAGGAATAAGAAACAGTAAGTCACTGGGGACTGGAATCCCCTCTGAAAGGGATTTCAGAGCAGAGTGTGCGAGTGTGCGTCCACACTATAAAGCTCAGCACCTGAAGAAGACCTGGAACCACAGGAATAACACGAGGAATAAAGTCTGAGGCATTTAAATCTGAAACAGAACACTCAAGAGACTATCAAAAGCATGCTGTTCTCTGAGTCAATGCTGATCAGGAACTCAATCCTACCGTGCCACATTCAGCTTCCTGCAAACAAGAGCTTTACTTTAAGGTTCAAAAATTATCCTTGAGGCTCCTTGAGATTAATCAGCCAAACTGTTATTATTTGTCCTCTTAGAGAGGAAAAGCTGGGGCCAACCTCTGCGCGTTTTCAGTCGCTAACGTGCAAAGCCCAGACGCAAGCAGCAGAACAAGTCACAGAGAAGGCCATTTCTCCTTCTGTCACCATTACCCACACAGACAGTAAAAAAATGAGCCACCTACTTTTCTTTGCACATCACTCAGTATCAGGTATTCAGCGGAGAGGTCAAGGCAGACTTTCAGGCTGGGAAGAATACTCATAGAGCTGAAGATGTCTGGAGAAAAGCTAGATCCACGAACAAGAGCAGGATGCAGAAAGTAAGGCACATCAGCACAATCAAAACAACTACTATGAAACTCAATTCATTAAAAAACATCTTAAGGGGTTTACAGCCATATTACAGTGCCTCCACCCACTAGAATGTAAGCATCATCACAGAAATCAATGCCTACATCAGCTAAGAGACCAGCAGGGAGATCACAGGACAGGATCTAATTATGGATTCTGAACATTTTAAATGCAAAATGACAGTCTGTAATTACTTAACGTGTTCCACATTCATAGGAGGACAAGGCCCAAAGCTATAGGTTTAAAGCCAGAGATCCACCAAACCAGAAGAACCCTTCTTAGGGCTCCGACCTTCTGCAGTATGAGATGGAAAAAGCAGTACTCAGCTGCATGCCTGTGCCACATTCTTCTCATTTTAGGAGGGCAATTCAGGAATGGCTTTACATGAGCATATGACCTGAGAGCCCATGATCCACCAGCAAAATCAAAGAATCTAGCAAGTGGAGGGAAGAGATGGACTAAAGGGGAATTGGAACTTCTGGAGCTATAGGGCTCAGCAAGTAAGTCTTGTATAACTGCTTCAGCTCTGTCAACATAGCAGCTTCTAATTCTTTAAATCAGAAAAAGCAGTAACAGAAAGAGATGCTAAGTTGGTTATTGAATAGCTAATTTTTTATAGAAGAAAGCACTGAAGGAGTGTTATTTGGAATGCCTCTCCTAAGGCTACAGGTACATTTGCGCTCTGCAGACCAAAGTGAACACAAGAGGTCTTGGTAACACCACTGTGACAGTATAACAGTCACCAATCTCCCCTGCACTACCAAAGCCTGACCTGGCAGTCTACCACAGTCCTCATATCTTTCAAAAAATATGCCAGATTGGCAAAAGAAGAGATATTAGCTGGGGCTAGACTCTATTAGGGTCACCTAAGACAACTGTGCAAAGCAAGCAAACCCAAAAGGTTAGAGCTTTGCTATGATCCACTGACTCGTCAAACTAAATCTAACTGTTCAGGGGAATATCAACACATCAATATCAACATATCAGAATCAGCATATCAACACCTACCGGACAGTCTGCAGACAGGTCCAAGATACAGTGCACCACATCTTCAACTCTCTATTTTGATCTGCTCCTGTGATAAGAAATCTCCAGAAGGGAACCCTGCAGGCACAACACAAACAGATTATCTCAAAGAAGATCTGGTCCCTCCCAAAAGGTCATTTCACAGAGAAGTTTCTCATGGTCCGCCCATGGCTGGTTTTGCCCAAGTGTCTTAAACTTCTCAGAAAATTTCTACTTCTGAGGCACATTGAAAACCAGTATAGCACTCTCAGCACCCAAGAACCATAAGGCCATAACTGACTAACGAAAGGAAAAAAGAAAAAAAAAAAAGAGCTCTTTTTGTCCATCAAATTTCTTCTGCAGTTGATAACAGGCCAGGTAAAACTAACCATATTGCAAACCTGAAAAGACTGTGACTCAGGATTTTCATTGCTTAGCTCTTCACAGTCCTGAAATTGACAGTAGAATTAAGGTAACTTCAGGCTGTGCTCCGGTGTCTTATTTTTCACAGAATCAGAATGGTTGAGGTTGGAAGGGACCTCTGGAGATCATCTAGTCCAACACCCCTGCTCAAGCAGGGTCCTCTAGAGCACATTGCCCAGGATCGCATCCAGGCGGGGTTGGAATATCTCCAGCGAAGGAGACTCCACAATCTCCCTGGGCAACCTCTTCCAGTGCTCTGTCACCCTCACAGTGAAGAAGTTTTTCCTCAGGTTCAGACGGAACTTCCCGTGTTGCAGTTTATGCCCGTTGCCTCTTGTCCTGTCGCTGGGCACCACGGAGAAGAGACTGGCCCCAGCCTCTTGACACCCCCCCTTCAGCTACTGGTACACATTGATGAGATCGCCTCTCAGTCTTCTCTTCTGCAGGCTCAACAGGCCCAGCTCTCTCAGCCTTTCTTCACAGGAGAGATGCTCCAGTCCCCTCCTCATCTTCGTAGCCCTCCGCTGGACTCGCTCCAGAATGGCAACGCTCTTCCTAACGCACCCCAGGATACCCTGGGCCTTCTTGGCCACAAGGCCACACTCCTCATGCTTATGCTTGAGGCTCATGCTTAACTTCTTGCCCACCAGCACGCCCAGCGCCTTCTCTGCAGAGCTGCTTTCCAGCAGGTCAGCCCCCAGCCTGTCCTGGTGCTTGGGGTTCTTCCTGCCTAGGTGCAGCACCCTGTGCTCGCCTTTTGTTGAACTTCAGGAGGTTCCTCTCCACCCAGCTCTCCAGCCTGTCCAGGTCCCTCTGAATGGATACTTTTTCCATCACTAGAAAACTTATTGCAAAACAGAACAGGATTTGCTCCTGCCACAAAGCTAAATTTGTGCAATTATGAGGAAACCTCCAAAGGTAGAGTTGGAAGACACTGCTGAACTTTGCTACTCAAAGTAGATTTGAAACTTACTCTGGGTCTTGCTTTTTATGGTTGTCACAGAAGAGGAGGCAGGAGAGGGGCCTACCATCATGGGGTTTCCACTCATGGAGACACCTAAAAAAGAATCATAAAACAGCAAAAATGCAGGGACTGGTGAAGGTAGGGCGGGGGGAATAAGAGGTGGGCTCTGAACATCTTATCACTTGTTTGAACAAAGCGCTATGTCAGCGGTCACCAAGTGTTATCAACTGGTAGCTGTTTACAAGGCTTATATAAATTGACAAGGGGATCACACCCCATGCAGCCACAGATTGTGACAAAATAAGAGAGAGGAAAAAAAAAGCTGCCCTTTGGTTTGGTGTTTCAACAAGGACACCATATATAAAAGACATCAACACTGAGAGGAGAAGCTCAGAGAAGCCTTCTGCATGTGCAGGACAGTGCAACAGAGTTTGGCTACAGCATGTACAATGCACAGGACTCATGCTTCCAGACACAGCTCTTTGCTTCTGTCTAAAGTTCACCAAATTTTAAGCATGTGTGATATTGAGTGATGTAACAGCACTCATCAGCCACAAACTACTATAAAGTACGTTCACCCTGTATCTTCATAATGACCTGAGAGTGATTTTCTAACAAGGAAAAAGTCTCACAGAGAAACTGCTGTTCTCTATTCCAAGATCCCTTATTTTCTAATTCTCCAGTTACCTTGGCTCATCTTGCCCCTCAATATAGATCTGCCAGAATTTGACAAAACCATCGTGGCTTGCTGTGGCCAACACAGTTCCATCTGGAGAAAGTGCTCCCTCACTCAGGCACTAAGCAGAGAGAGGAGAGAAGGAAAAAAAAAAAAAAACACACACACATAAAAGTTATGTTATATAGCTCTTTAAGAAAAAGAGAATACTGTCTTCACACAGGAATTCGACTAACAGCCCGGTAGGACAGGAGACAAGATCTCTCTAACACACACCTCACCAGGCACCTTACCCCTTCACAGAACTGACAGGGCAATTTTTAATCCTAGTCACGCTTTCCAGAGAGAAATTTAAGTGCAATAGATAATGCTGCTCCTGCTTCCACTGTCACTCGTTACAAACAGACCTCATTTTGCTTTGGGATCTTCTGGCTGTTTGCAGTCATTAAGTACTTTGCTTTACCTAGGTGATACAATTACTTTCTCATCATCCTGTCCAAGAACTGAAATTACTCTTTCCAGTTGTGCCCTTTATATTCAAGGCATCACCTATCAGATCCCCCGGCCATTCCATTTATCAGAAGATTTTAAAAAAATAGTTGAAATGCAGCCCAGATTGCCAAACTGACCCTTGGAACTATAGGCACTTTTTCCTAGTCATTTTCAAAGGAAATGACTACAACTTCACTTTGGCTCTTGAAACAAAGCTCACTTATTATGTGTGCACATACCCATCTCCTTTATTACCCACAGCCCACTGGCTAAGAAACTATTTTACACCAGAAGTTTGATATCAATCATCCTAAGAACTACAACTCCTGACACTGTAAAAACGAAAGAGAACCTACATGATCTGTAACATACCACGTCAGGAGGACTCCAAACTTTTACAGAAATTCAAGCACAGGGGAGAGCACTAAGTTGCCAAGAGCAGTTAGCCTGAATATTTAAACTGTTCTTTGATTAGCTACGCTAGTAAAAGTTTTTATGGTCTGATACAATATCTCTCCAGAGGTGGCCTTCGCAGACTGAGATAAAGCAGGGTGAGGAGGGTTGGGGAGTTAACAGTCAACCATGACAAACATGAGATGCCTCACTTCAGTTCCAAAATCAGTGGGCATGCCAAACAGGGAATGAAAGAAGCAATTTACAGAAAAAAGTTGAACTACTTAGCACTGCTGTGCATTTAGCTCGTCACAGTCTTAAAGCGTGAAAAAGTTTGACCTGTAAGACTAATTTCAAGAATGATACTCTTGCCCACCACAATTGCCCAAAAAAGAGCTGGAAGTCCCTTCTGTAAGCAGCCCCACAGAGGACGCACTATGTTAATAGAACAAAAAGTTAAGAATTTCAGCTCAGCCCCACTTGCTTTATTTGTATCACTCATTGACATCTAGTTATTTAATTGCAACATGTAGTCATGCCAGACAGATGACTTACTACTGTTTTCAGCACTGCTGTTTGCAGGGAGGGGGATTTTTTCCCCAAATATCCCTGTTTCCTGGGAAGTTAGATACAGTAAACAAAAGGAATAGGTTTTTACCGTGCTGTGACCTTTCACTACAATGAAGCCTTCTTTGATGCTGGGCACTTCCACTGGCCAGGAGCTGTTGTTTGTTCGAATAATGTCCAAATCCCACACCTCTGCCTGGAAAATAAGCATGTATGTACATAGGCTTATTTCTACAACTACTGGTCATCCAGTCAAGGATTCCTTATATTCTTACCTGACATTCCAGCCCAATGGCAAGTATGTGATATAAACCTTCCCAGTTCCAACTGATTTTGCCATGGGAAGCTTTCCCGCACCCAGCTATACTTAGTATAGGCAGCTGTGGCAATTACAGTTGCTGCTCACCAACCTCCCTCTGCCGGGTACTGACTCAGCCTGAATGGAGATGAGTGATGCCTCTGGCCCTCTACATTTTGTTTCTGGTAGTCCCCTATATTTGATGATGGCCAGAAGTTATCACTTTCTTTCCCTGAGCCACTGAGAGAGACCAGCGTGACCTCTCCTCCAAAGAGAGAAGTCCTGCCCCTTATATTATGGGAGGATTCCCAGACTGAATTAGACAAAAAGCATTACACCTATAACCATGTGGGCTCTTCCCTTCATTCCCTTCTCCCTCTAACAATAAAAAGGGACAATGTTTCACAAGCAAGGTTTTCTTACCCTGTCCTCATGCAACAATGCCAATGTTTGACTTCCCTCTTCACCACTCTCCTCATTATCATCTGGGATGAAAGGACACCAGATGATTCTTCGAGAGGTGTTCAGTGGGGTATTGTCAGGTCGTTTGATGTTCACTAAGATCTCCTCTCTGATCACCACGGTTAAGGAACATAAAACATTCTGTGTTACTGATGCCCAGCGATAACCTACTCAGTTGTGGTCCTCAGTCAAATACCATTAGAGATAAAGTTCTTCAGATCACAGATTCAAAGAGAAATCAGTTAAAAGGATTCTAAGAAAGCAGGCAGGCTAGCTTCTCCTCCCTGGCAGGAAAGAGTTAAACTGACAAAAGTCAGCTTAGATTCTCATAATTTTCACTTGCTGGCTGCAAACAAGAGCACGATAATCACAACAGAAGTACACAGCCATATTTGAACGTGCAATCCAAATGACTGCTGATGGATAAGTTTAACAATTTCATCTAGCATTATAACAACAATAAATACCACAGAAAGGCAGAAAAGCTACCACACTGCCCTAGGCTGAGTGATCCAGTTCAGCCACACAAATCTTAATCTTAACTGAAGCAAAGGTGATTGTAGTTTGCTTTTGAAACGACTACATACATCAATGAGAAAATTAAGAAGCCACAACCTAAACTACCACATCCTATAGACTGAGGCGCTTCCCAAAAATCACTGAGCAGTCACTGCTAGCAATTACAAGGAAAAGGTTTATGGCAATCAATCAAACTTTAAAATCAATTTCAAGACCATCAAAAGAACAGGGATGACAGATTTGGAAGGAAGTTAAGCGAGTGGGAGGTAAGTGTCACATCTCCCTTCCCAGAAAAGTAACTGAGGAAAAGAGCTAGGACTAGACAAATGAGAGTAACAAGCTTTGTCATGTGGTCAAACTGACACTGCCCAGCTGTGTGTGCGTCCACTGTGCCAGCTAGCACAGACCCACTGATGCTAAAACCTTCCTCACTAATTACTTTTGCCAGGAGGAGCACTGCGATGTCACTCCCAGAATTTCAGTACAGGCACAGGTTGACTGACTAGATGTTCATTTGAAGGTCTGTTGGATGGGCAAAACTACCAACCTCCCTCCTGCAAGCTGATATTCTGAAAAGGCTATGCAATAAGTTGCAATTGTGAAACTGCATTCACATCTAACCATTCCACAAACATTGATATGAGGTTTCCTTTGACAAGATACTGAATTTTCTCTTTCTCCATGGCCAAGCGCCAGACAAAAAGGTTGCCAGCCTCATCCAGGCATGCCAGCTGGTTGGAGTTGAGATGGGCAAAAGCCAGGTCTGCCACACCGCCTGTGAATCCTTTCAGCAAGGTCCGCTCAGCAGTGCTGACGCTCAACACCCGCACCATAGCGGAGCCATTACTGGCAGCTGCAGAAAAGACAGAAGGAAGAAGTCAACATTCATCTGTGCAGTTACCCGACAGGACTGCCTTTGTTTTCAGCATCTAGTCCATTCCATCCTGCCATAAGCTGGCACTGACAGCACAATGAAAATCCATGCCAACAGATGCCGCATTAACAAGCCCTTTCAGGACCCAGGACACGCATAAACATTCACTGCACTTTTCAGCTTTGGTGCAGAAGAAGGATTTTGCCAGCCTTTTAAGGGGCAGCTCAATTCCCTACATCTCTTATAGTTTCTTGAGCCCTGCAAATTCTGAGTTCCATTGACTTTTTAAGTAGAATAAGTTCATTCCAAAACACAAGGCCACTGCAGTGTTTCTTTACCACAAGCACTGATATCATGGCTCACCAAGGACAGGATTTTTCTCATGGAAGATGCTTTCATTAAATGCAAGGCCTAAATCTTTATCAGAAGCTGATGACAAGGCGACCAAACTTCCAGGATTGACCTCCAGTGACTGGATTCAATTTAACTGCAATTTGATTTTCAGTAACTGCAGAAAAGGAGTCACGGAGGTGCAGGTAGCTCAGATATGTCTTTTATAAGGGTAACGTAAAATCATAAACATTCACCTGGAAAAAAGTCATGCTTTTTGGCTTGCATGGCTAAAACAAAAAAGCTCTAGAGAATGCATGATCTGAACAAAATTTCCAACTTTCCCATTTCAGACAAGCATCGCTATAATACAGGCAGGCTTATGGTGACCCTACTGTTTCCACTTCTTGATGCCCAAGTCAGCCCAGGTAGATCACTCAACTTTCCATATTTTACTGCACCCAGGCTTCAATACAAAAGGGCTAGACATCCTAAGAACAGCTACTCTAGAATAACCTCACTTAGATAAAACACAGAAATAGAGTATTAGATTTTGTAAGAGACCAGACAAACTGATGGGGTGCCATTCTAAGAAGAAAGAAAAGAGTTGGGCCCCAAAATCTCTCTATGGTTATATGAGACCAGAGACACCACAGAGGAGCAAATGTTCATTTGTTTCATCTATTTTGTAAAACAATTTTTC